TGTGTGTGCATTATGTGTGTGTTTGTGTGTGTTTGTGTGTGTACGTGTGGGGTTTTGTATGTGTATATGTATGTGTTTGGGGGGGGGCGTCTATGTGCATGCGTATGCACATGTATCGTTTGTTGGAATGAAACATTTATTTTGTTAGTTTAATGTTTTTCTGACCCCTCTGTGTATCTTTTCCTAGCCCTGCCTCTTCCTCTGAATTTATCAGATCCCTTGGTGTATGCCCCTTCTTCCATACAGTCTGTAGGTAGTCTAAACAGACGTCCAAACCATTTGTGAGGCAGCGTCGTGGAATCAGGCTCTCGTCAATTATTGGGCATGTAGAGTTATTGGTTTCAATATAAAGCTTGTTTACTTGTCTTTATTTGGATTAAAAACATATCCATTTATCTTGAATACAAGTCGAGATATTTGCGAAAGAAGGAGGCGGGGGTCACCTGTTTTCAGAGGTAAAATTAGTTAGAAAATGGCCGCCAAAGAGTAGTTATTTCCTTAGCCAAAGAGTCCGTGATAACTGAAAATTTACTTTTGTGCCTTTAATCAATGTTTTTCAGAAAAATTCGCACAGAAATGATTTCTTTAATGGACATGAAAGGTGTTGAGCCAAAAAACAAAAATTCAATACAAATTCACAAACCTGCGGAAAAATGCAAGTTTCTTCATTTTGATTATTTTGACGAGAGCCTGATTCCACCACTTTGCCTCACATTTGTGAAGTGTGCTGACAAAATGAGTAACTTCATGGATTCGAGCACTATGGAAATAGGTATACCACGCTTAAAGGTGAAGTTTGTACTATTTGATAAGTATGAAATAGTAAAAAGCTTATTATACTTAGAGAATATGGCATCAATAGAAAATCTACACATTTGATCCTAGTGTCGTTTTTTAGCCAATTAGAAATTTAGACCATCTGTGGAATGCGAGAAGTAACTCATTTTGTCAGCACGCTCTACCTACATTTCATTCGTTGTTTCTCTATGTACTAAAAGTAAAGATCCGAGCAAAGTCGTTCTCTTTATGTAAATGTATCTAAATTTGTCACAACATTGGCTCTGGTAGGCTGTGGACCAGAACATAATAATGATGTGTCTCAAGTGGCTGAATGCCCAAAGACAGAAAACGCCGGTGAGAGATTTCTTGATAACAATCAATATTTTTTTAAACGATTAAAGCAGTATCCAAGAGATGAAAGTTTTATACTCACAGCCTCAGAGAATTTTTTTCTTTGCGTATTAACTCTTTTAAAGAACAAAACTGCAGCATAAGGCAACGTTATGTTGCGGCGTAATACTTCAAAACATCGTACAAGTTAATCAAAACACACGAAATTAAATTGCATCCTTACTTTTTATAGTGCTCATACTCATGCTGTTACACGCGGTTTTGATTTTCGGATGAAGAGAAAAGAATGGAAAAATGGAAAAATCTGTTGGAATAACAACTTTGATCATGCGTCTTTTCTGAAGTTTCCCATAACAGACTGTCTGTACAAAACGTTCTCGAATGAACAGAATGCGGGTCCTCATGGGTTAATCAAAATTACGAGACAGAAAATCCGAACTCAAACTGATAATAATTGCTGCAGAATGGTCTCCCCTGAACGGATCATGTCGAATCTTTCCAATCAAGGAGATAACCTACAAACATGAGACCTTCGCCATTCAAACTCAAAGTTTACTTAAACGATCTTATTAAGATGATCATATTGTCCAAGTAAATACAAACTCTCCTCTCCCAGTCTAAACATCTTTAGAAGACGTTTGAAATTTTAATATTTTCTTCTTCGAAACGTGGACTGTATTGATTGGTTGAAAAGTGTGCTACGTTTTCCTATTGGAAGCGTGTAATTATCACGATAAATAATTGGAGCTTCGTTGACAAACAACGTTGTCTTCATTGATTATAGAAATGTGTGTATCTTTCCTTGTTTTACAGTGCGTACGTTTTCTTTTAAATTTGTGCACTGCTGGCTGTAAATGATAATCATCCTGTTCCATAGATAGATAGATAGATAGATGGATAGATAGATAGATAGATAGATAGATAGATAGATAGATAGATGGATAGATAGATAGATAGATCGGTGAGTGGACAGACAGACAGACACACACAGACAGACAGACACATAGACATGCACACAGACAGACAGACAGACAGACAGACAGACAGACAGAGACACAGACAGATACCATAACTCACATGGTAGGAATGCAGAAGACAAAGGAGAGTCCCCAGATTGCGGGAATGATCTTGAGAGCCACAAGGATGGTGGGCCGGGCGGCCGTGGACACGATGATAGCACGCTTTCGCTCGAACGAGATGGCGACCATGGAGTAGATAGACGCCATGATGCACATCAGAGGGCAGAAGTTGACCACTCGACACAGGAAATCACCTGGGGAAGAAATATATATATCGTTGTGTTTTTTTGTTGTTTTTTTTTGGTTGTTTTTAAAAAAGTTTTATTTTGATTTTGTTGTTTGTTTGGGGTTGGGTTGTTGTTTGGGTTGGTATTGTTGTCTTATATTTGTTGTTAGGTTTGTTTTTTTGGGGAGGGAGGGGGGATTGTTTTTTTATTATTGTTGTTTTATTGTTGGTTTGCTTGCAGCGTGGGTGGCGGTTGGGGGGTTAAGTGTTGATACTTTTACTTCGAACCATCGACACAAATTTAAAATAATTAAGGAGTTGGGATTTTGACCCTGCCTGTCAAGGCCGACATGGGCTGTATAGGTTACAACATCCCAGCTAATAGACGGAGATTTTAGATGAAAATAATCCGTCCCACTCTAGAATTGAACTCTGGTCTCCAGCGTGCAATAGCGAGGTGCTTAACCCGCGCTGCATCATAGACGTCAGAGAAGATATCGTGACCACAAAAAAAAGCGTGTGACTCATATTTTGTTTGTGTGGGGGGTGGGGGGGGGTTCATTAGAACAGTGTATTGGTGGGTTGTTGGCGGGTTCCATGGTGTTGTTTGCTGGGGGGGAGGGGGGGTTCCTATCAAACATCTATCACCCTTTTCTCTACTTTTCTTTGTACGTTGTTTTGTAGCAAAGACTCTCTAATCTTCGGCACTTACAATCATTGAATAATATGAAAGGGTATGACACTCATGTCATAGGATATCCAACAACAGGAAAGTGTGAATAACAACTTACATAACGTCAGTTGACACGAACGCAATTATTTGCTTGCTGAAACGAAATAGTGCTTAATCAAATCAGCTTCGCATCGCTCATCTGTAACAAAAGGCGGGTGTTCCAAACGTGTGCGTCACAAGCCATCAAGAGAAGACCTCCTGAGAAGTTCGTAGCGTTATATTGTGTAACTGAAGAGACTGTTGAATTATTTGTTAGCTGAACTATGTGAGGCAGCGGGGTGGAATAAGACTCTCGTCAAAATAATTAAAGTGAAGAAACATGCATTTTCCCGCAGGTTTGTGAATTTTTATCAAATTTTTGTTTTTTGCCTGAACACCTGTCATTCCCATTAAAGAACTCGTTGTTGTTTGGATTTTTCTGAAAAACGTTGATGAAAGGTACAAAAATTGTAAATTTTCAGTTACCATGGACTCTTAAGCTAAGGAAATTTAGCGGCCATTTTCTCACTAATTTTACCTCTGAAAACAAGTGACCCCCACCTCCTTCTTTCCCAAATACCTCGACTTGTATTCAAGATAAAGGGATATTTTTTTCATCCAAATAAAGACAAGTGAACAAGCTTTATATTGGTACCAATAACTCTACATGCCCAAAAATTGACGAAAGCCTGATTCCACCACGCTGCCTCACATTTGTTAGTTGAAATATTATTGTTGGTTTGTTGATGTTTTTCTTACTGCTTTTGGAGGGGTTTTTTGTGTTTACATTTCTTCGTCTTTATTCTCAATAAATGTTGATGCTGTTTGTTTTTTTCGTAGGTTTTTTTTTGGTCCTTCCTCCATTACTTTCGTTCTTGAATTCTATTGGTCTTTGAGCGCTGCGTAGATAGATTAAGTCGCTTTTTAAAAAGCTCCACTTAATGGTTTGTATTACTTTCCTGGTGGTCATGTGGTGCTGACTTTTGTCTTAATGTCATTCCTTCTGACAGAATCGTCGATCACATTCGTATTTTGTCTTGAATAGTTTATAATTGAAAAGGTATTATGTCAACTATGTCATGTCAGGTTTTAAATCTGTTATGAAAAAGGTAAAGTGGAAAGAGGCGGGGAGAGAGAGAGAGAGAGAGAGAGAGAGAGAGAGAGAGAGAGAGAGAGAGAGAGAGAGAAACATTTCTGTAAACTGGAATTTGTGTACTCAGGTCACAATTCAGGATTTATTTCAGACTAGCTGGGTACCCGTTTGAGGAACACGCTCAAACGAATAGATCGTCAAGTCATTATGGAATCAGTGAACACTGCTTGTGAACGGAAGCCTCACTTGTTTACAATGGCGTCTTACAAGACAGACTTTCCTGAGATCAGATCTAAACGAAACTAATGAAAAACTGAAAATTAAACTACACTGACTACACACTCCTTGATATAACTGTGCTCCCTTTAAATGATTCTGAACGACCTTTAATTTTGTTTTAAATTCAAAAGTCGAGAGGCTCGTACGTTTTAGGTGACCCAAGTGACGAACTTTCCCAATAAATGTATTATACTACTAGCTGGGCCCCATTTCAATGAAAGGAATGATCGCTGCATTAACATCAACTGAAAGTCATTGGCCTACACTCTATTGGAATGGAGCAATAAATCTTGAGAGATGCCAAAAATTAGAAGTTCTAGATCTTTACTCTCAAAAACCAAATGCGCCTCGCGATATATCACTTCCGACACTTCCGTTGGGAAGGAGAGCTACGCACATATGTTTCGTTTTTCAGCGAAATAATCACAACGGCTAAAGAAAGACGGGAACTTTTGTCAAATACATTTTTTCTAAATTCAGGAAAGGAATAAACAAAAATCAGGCTCCGTCATGGGGACCTATCTATCTTTTAGCAGGTACTTGTCAACTTTCAACTCTGTAGCTGTAGTAGTTTTATCGGGAAAATGACACATGTGTTTTCAAGTTACGAAATAATATATACATAGATATGCATGCACATATTACGATCTTCTATTATTATGCTCATGAGATGTGAGTTTGATTCTCGTGTATGGGAAGTTTATTTGGGAGCACGACAGAGTAGCTAGCTACGGTTACGCACCCCGCCCCCCACTCCTCATCCCCGTCCCCGGTGCAGCTTTTTCCAAGACAAGGAGTAGCTTACTAACTTTACTGACTTTACTGACTTTACTGACTTTACTGACTTTACTTACTTTTTACTTTTTCATCTTCTGTTATCGTCGACCGTTAAGGGGAGATGCAGTTTTCTGTTGTATGCCAGCTGCGAAGTTCTTTCAGGTGAGATATTATTATGATTTCTCAGGGTTTCCTTGACCTTTTTCGTGACCTTCCTCTTCCTTTATAGTCTGTGTGCTTTGTGTTGTAAGCTCTCGAGGCTGGCTGGCTGGCTAGGTGATATACTACGCAACAGTTGGCTAAACTATTTGAATTACCCTTACACGAGTGTCTACCGTCAGGAAAAAAAACAATTTATGCTTTTTCAAAAAAGAGATTATTATATATCTTTGAGAGCGCCTTAAAACTTTTAGTAAAATAAACTAAAAGAGAGTGTGTCACCCATAGCGTAGTGGTAAGAATCTCCGCCTGTCGTGTGGGTGACCTGATTTCGATTCTCCTCATGGAAAGGATTTTGTTTTCCTCTTGGTAATGAGAGAAAAGTTTGAAACAGAGAGTGGAAGAAAGATAGAGATACAGAGAGGCTGGTTGGGAAAAGTGGATCAGTAAGCCGGATGGACCGGCAGAAAGAAAAATTATTATCATTTTATACAATCAAGACAAAAGTCCTTTTTACACGATCTGCAATCTTTTCAACGCCAATTAAACAATATTTTCTCGTGCGTAGAGAGGCCATTGTAATGATAATAATAATTGGTATTGTTAAAATTAATGATCTCCTAGTGGAAGCGTCTGAATCATTCATTATTCTCAGAAACACTACACTATTGACAATTTTTTAACACAACATAGAATTGTGTTTCTGACGACAGAAAGGTGGCCTATTGTTTGAAGGGTTGTTGTTGTTGTTGTTGTTGTTATTGTTGTTGTTGTTTTCCATTTCAGATGAGAGAACAAAATTGTTTGTTATTATTGTTGATTCTGCTGAATAATGGTTGTTCCGGTCGACCTGGTAGTCTGACGTGTTCGACAGTTTGATCAGTCTAATAGTCTAGCCTGTTTGATCATCTGATTTTTCTAATAGCCTGAAGGGTCTGATACGAGTTGTTTTATCAGCCTAATAGTAATAGTAATAATATCGCGAGTCTTACTGTCTGAATCAGCTTAATAGTGATAATCGGACGAGTCTCATAGTCTGATAGGTCTGAAAGCCTGACGCTTCTGTTAGTTTGATCGGACTAATAGTCTGACTTATCTAATCGATTGATCTGTCAACAGTGTGGGGAATATGACAGTTTGGTCAGTCTAATAATGATGTCGGTCTCATCTTACTAATAGATCCAGAAGTCAAACACAGGTACCACTTAAAGTAATGATGTTTGGTGTTAATATGATACCTTCATTTAACACCTGCCCGATCAATAATGTAAGGCTTCAGGTGACGGACGGAGACGAGGCAGACGGGAGAAAGGAGAGACTGGGTAGGGGG